AATAGCTTCTTGATCGAAGGATTAATCTGACTGCCATTCTGAGGTCAAGAAGGGATTTTTCCTAGTAGGTGCAAAAGTGGAAGTGCTTCAAACTGTTTTTTTGCCTTCTTTTGGATCAACAGCAAAAACCATATGTGAGGAAGGCTGAACTTGCTGGACACAAGTCTCTTTTCATCTATGTAACTATGCAACTATAAGATCTCTCTTTACAAGAAGAGTTTTGGAAAGATGTGCAAGTCACATGCAGGAAAGTGTAGGTAGGACTGTATAAACAATGTGATTTAACTCCTAAACAGCAGAAAATTCAGCAGTGAGACTACAGAGGCATAAACTACACAACAACTGCTTCATTGAGCTAAAGTTGTTTTGGTGACTATAGTGTCCCTTTAAATGTCATTTTGAACTCTTGGTTTAAACAGAGCTCCTGGTACACAGTGCATTTTTTTCAATACCATATACAACCCCAGATTATTCTATATTTCCAATAGTATCCAGCAATAGTTAAAATATTTTATGCCCTAAAATGAGCCAAGCACTAAGATGACATTGTGTGACCAACAATAGAACTTTGTTACTGAACTCACAGTCCTTCAAGACCGTTTTTCCAGTGCCATAACATGTAAAAATCACAGACGTACATAAGCCACTCAAAGGCTTGCACAGTAATGCACACTTTCCAAGTGTCCCTATTTAGGAGGGACAATGCCTTCTGTGCCTCTAGCGAATAATGCCTTCTGTTTTTCCAATTCCTTGGTTTTTATGGCTGTTTTAATTGATTTCCTGTAATTGGACTTAGTGTGTGATGATTGATGATTCATCCCTCCTTATAGTTACCACCCCTTTTAGTTGCATGGACCATTGTGAATGCAAAAGTCAGGACCTTTGTTAAGGTGTGTATAATCACACCCCTTCTTCCCTCCCATTCCATTATTGTGTATGTGAAGGGAGTGTGTTACTAATCAAAGAGGGTGTCATTTAGGACCCCTCTCCCTTATAACCCCAGCTCTTTAGGCACTCCGTTCTAGCCCAACATAAACAAGCACACTTAGGTGCCGAAATGCACGGTGGGCATATTTCTATTTTTTTTTAAATCTTTTCTTGTTTGATTACTTAGGCAGGCTGTCATGTAGGCCCTGCTAGGAGAGAGCCATGACCCCTAGTGGTAATAGACCTTACTAGCTGTATGGGACATTAATAGAGTGAGCTAGTGTGTGTGGTTGTAAAATAGCAGCTCATATGTAGAATTCCCTTAGCAGTAATGTGGTCACTAACTTGAGGCAGACCTGAAGCTCATGAGACCTTTACCACATGATCTCCACCTCTACACTTGGAGGCTGTGCAGACCAGGTAGCAAAGCCACCGGTCAACCATGGAGCCCACTGGATCTCCAAGGAATTGATTACTATTTTTTTTATTGTTAAAGATACACAGCCGTTGAGTTGAGTTTGACAATAAGGCACTTATTTCTTTTATTGGTGTGCTTTTAAACTGTTGTCTGCCTGTTAAGTTTCTGTCGGACACAATTTTTTTTCCCAAATAGAGAAGATTGCATTTCTCATAGAGCACTATTTAACAATTACCTTTTACACTTTATGCACTCACTTTAGTTATCAACTTTTTTTTTTAATTCTTCCATTTTACTGTAACAATAATGTTACCATATTAAAATGACTGACATTATAGGACCAGCTATAATAACTAGTTACATTGTAGCTCCAGGTAGGCTGTTGTAGCCAAGGCTGTCAAAAAGTACTACAGTGAAACATGTTAAGTATTTTTTAAGAGACTAGAGTTAGGGTTTGTTTTGGTCACAGTTGACAACATATTAAAAACAGGTACCCATAACCATAAACCCTCTTATCTAAATTTGCTACAGTTCCCTTAAACTCTAAAGGTCCTCTAACTCTAATCTTACACAAACATGACTGCATTACTATAGCAACTATTTAAAATTCACTGTTTCAGTCTTCATATTCTAACTGCATAGGCACTTAATAGTGTGTTTCGCAAAGGGATTCCGTAACAAGAATAAAATGTGGTTAAGAACATCTTATTTAAAGGATCACTATAGGGTCAGGAACACAAACATGTAATCCTGACCCTATAATGTTAACACCACCATCTAGTCCCCCTGGGCCCCTCGTGCCTCCATAAATACAGCAATATCTTACTGTATTCAAGCCAGAAGCTGTAACTCTGCATGCTGTTTGCCTTAAAAAAACAAGCAGTCTGCTGACATCATCAGAAGTGGTAGCCTTATCCAATCACAATGCATTCCCATAGGATTGGCTGAGACTGACAAGGAGGCAGATCAGGGACAGAGCCAGCACAATTCAAACACAGCCCTGGCCAATCAGCATCTCCTCATAGAGTCTCTATGAGGAAAGTTCAGTGTCTGCATGCAGAGGGAGGAGATACTGAATGTTTGGAAGCATTTTAGGCAGCCATGACCCAGGATGGATCTCTAACAGCTATCTGAGGAGTGGCCAGTGAAGTTATCACTAGGCTGTAATGTAAACACTGCATTTTCTCTGAAAAGACAGTGTTTAAAGCAAAAAGCCTGAAGGTAATGATTCTACTCACCAGAACAAATTCAATAAGCTGTAGTTTTTCTGGTGACTATAGTGTCCCTTTAAAGATGATTATCTAAAGACTAACTTAGAAGAAGACCAAGGCATTTGATCTGCTAGCACCAATAAAATATCTAGGGTCAACACATTGTCTATTTATTCAGCTTTTAAAATGTATACCTAGGGATTGCTTTAATTAAAATGAAGTCAAATTAAATTAATTAAACAGAGATAAATTACAATCTAGCAACAAAAATATAACAGTTCTGATTTTTGTCTGGAATTGCTCAAATCTTTTCATACCAATCACAATCCTAATTTCACAGACCATTTACTGCTTTAATGTCTCCAAAGTCTGAATACTTTATCATCTTAAAACTTATGAGAAACTCTAATCTTGCATTTTTTAATTGTCATTTTATTTGTCTGATCAATTATGGACAAACCATTAATTAAGGTTAGTTGTTCACAACAGGGAGTGCTTAGTATCACTCACTTTGCCAGTTGCCCAAACCTGATCACAGTGTAATGGATTTTTTTATTTTTATTTAATAGGGATTTACCCCTGTCATATAGAAAACTTAAAGTACATGACGATTTAGAATTACTATTGGATTTAGGATTAGGGTGAGGTTTATAATTAGAATTAGAGTTAAATTTGTGATTAGGATTTGTCTTGGAATTAGGGTTTGATTTAGGACTAGGGATAGAACTAAATATGCATTCCTGACCCTATAGTGTTCAAAACAAAGTATACATATTGAGTATTTTTATACTTGGGAGATGTTGCTGACTACAGTTAAGATAATTGTATTACAGTGGGAAACGTGAGATTTAAAAAATAAGCAGTAATAATGCAATGTGCATGTAGAAATTTTAAACTAAACTTCAAATGGTGAAAAAAATGCACCTCAGTAAAGCTTAAAATATATCATGTGACAGTCTTCATGTTGCCCACATTTGCAAATGGATTTATGGTGTAATTTAATGTGTGAGCTACTATAACGCCCCAAAATGCGCCATAGACCCATAATCAATATCCATTAAAAAAAGAAAACTGGGAGCGGGGCCTGACCACTGAGCTGAGAGGACGCAGGAAAGGGTTGCTCCTGCTCCTACGGTCATATCTCCCGGGTTATGAGCCTACAAAGCAACCAAACGGCAAGACAAAACTGGGGGCAACCTGCAGACACCAAATATATGGTACAACCGGCAGGAACCACTGAAGCACTCCTTAAGGCCCACCAACATGGACGGCACAGGGGAAACACCCGCTTCCCTGTTGCCTTTAACGGCTAAAAGCTTGATTGTGGGCTCTCATTCCCCCCTCCCCTCATGGACCGGTGGGTGTTATCCCTGTCCCTGGAAGGCCCCTCCTGAGGCTGTGGCAGCAACCCCACCAGAGGCGAGCTGACTCCAAAATGGCGGAGAGCAAACCCGTGCTATCTGACACAACACAGGTCTGACATCCTGGCGCGGCTAGATGCTGCATTTGAGGCATTCTGGAAGAAACACGACGAATGACTGAGCACCACACATGCTCCGGTCATGGACTCACCAAGGGTGCCATCTTACCTCTACCGTCCATGTGGCTCACCCAGCCAAGCAAACCTCGTCAAAAAATGTCACAGAAGAAAACGCTGTCTCCCGCTGGCTGATAAACCCACGCGGTGGCACTTGGCAGCGAAGACCAGCCTACACAAGACACAGCCAGCATCACCCAAGCATGTACCCACAGAGCAGCTCAATACCTTACCCGAGACGGACCCATCCAGCATCGGCGCACATCCCTGAAAGGTTTGCAAAAGACCTCCACCTAAGCAAGCAGACAAGTACACAATCTGAGGCACTCGGGCCTGAAAGCAGGGATGGGTGAGTCCCTCTGAGGGATACAGCGATCGGAAGAAACTCTTGAAGGTATAGGTTAAGGGGACTCTATGGGATGTGAGGCCTAAGAAAAGCCTCCTGTAATGCCATATTGCCATCACCTATCAAAGTCATATTCCAAATGGCAAAATAAGGCAAGTTTGGGGAAGGAACAGAAGCGGTGGCATCATAGGACAAAGCTTTTTTTATTATTATTGTTATTATTCAAGGATTGTGCAGTATTTTCTATGAAACAAGACTATTTTCTCTCTGTTTGTCAGGGAAACTTCCACCAAGAATATGTAGTTCAAAGACATAGGATGTAGGGAGATAAATCAGGAGTTGCCTGTCTCAGCCTCATACACATAATATGGTGTGTCAGTAAACACATGCCTTTCATTGGATGATGCACACCTCAAGCTACCAGTGTCGGACCTTTACTTTGAACCTTTTTCTTCCATTATGGATTTCATTTTTTCTTTGTACCTGTATAGGGTTAAGAAATATTGGCTAAAGGTTACACATATAAAACAAGCCCAACACAACACACCCCATAACACAAGGTTATAACTCATACCTTTATTTATTTTATTAATTAAGACATAAAACAGTGTCAGTGCGGGGCATATAAAATATCCATGCTCAGCTCTCTGTGTATATACTATATGTATCTACATTTATATACATATATGAATGAAACAAAGGCTCAATATAAATAAATACTGAATTAAGTAGACCCTTTCACAAGAAGAAATGTTTACAAAATACCTGCTTGTGCCCAGTCAAAGCAGTGCGAGTCTCACTTATCAATACTTACAAAACAATCACAGTGAAGGCAGTTCCCGACTACCCAATTCACAGAAGGGACTATATCATGGACACAAAACACAGGTACAGTATGGACAGGCTAGTATTACCCATAGGGCTTAGGAGTTAGACAGGGGCCCAGAACTTGATATTTGACCCATCCGCCACCACTATGTGAAGATTGAAGGGGGCCCCAAACTGGTTACCTGCCTAAGACCCAGTTGGATCTTGATCCTTTTCTGATTGTGGACAGCAGCAACACAGTAAGAGCAGGGCCAGCCTGCCCCACTAACATACATGTTTAAACCATGGCATGTATGCAGAGAACAGATTGAGAAAGGCAGCATCAACAATGGTCTGCCCCTAAGAGGAAAGCAATCAAAACTCCCTGCTCAATCAGGGAATATGTATAAAGCGCAACTCTGCATAGGCAGCACTAGAGCTAGTCATACCATCAATCATACAGGTATTATACTGTGTTACATCCCACGCTGGTAGTGTCAGCATTCCCAAACAGAGAGAAACATATTTTTACCTACACATTGTCATAAATACATATCAAAGGGCACTGTGTGCAATGGCAGGTCTGCTGTGTCTTTCATACCCGCCTTTTCCAAAAATTTGGCAACATTAATGATAAGATTTCTAGGCACAATCACACATTCCTCAATGTTAAACCATGACTCAGAAGAAGGGCAGTGTATATAAAAGGTATATAAAACAATAAAGATAGACATATTATTTAGGTTACTTTATGTTGTCCTTTACTAAAATCTCCTGATGATGCAGGAGAAGCTCAGCTGCTAATGGATTGAGACATTCTGATGTGTTTTTTAAGATTTTAAATTGACATTTTGGAATGCAATCATTCTTAGATTATTCTTCTTATGAAGAAAAGTGTTTTGTTTGTTTTTCATTTTAAAAGTATATCAATGAAATTGATAGCTTTTGTGAGCTTCAATTAAAGTCATGATAAAAATACCATATTTGACACATTCACTCATATAACGTGGAATACATTTGTCTTGGATAATATATACTGAACAGTGAGACATCTTATGCTATTTCATTGTTCTATACAGAATCAAGATAGAAGGTTGACTAATGCTTGAATATGGTTTTGTCAGTGACAGGCAGAAAGTGTAGTTGTGAAAAAATAAGAGGGTCCAACTTCTATTCCTATACATCCGAATTGTCTTACAACAATTTACTTGTTTGTTAGTCCACCTATTCTACAGTGCTGAGTGATATGTTGGTGCTTTATAAATAATATTAATGTTATTTTTGTATACCAAAGTGCCACACTAAAACCTAGATACTTGAAGTTTTGAGGATAGGACATATTTAGACCTTAATGGTGCAATATATGACCCCCTGACCATTTTGTGAAGTCACTGAAGCTGGATGTGAGATTGCAAACCTAGAACTGGTGCATAAGCTGTGCAAGTGGTAAACCTGACAAGACACGAGAAGTAGTGGTATAATAGGATAGAATCCCTTGATTGCAGTAAGTTTGTGATACTACACCTGTGTTAATATGGGTTAGATCTAAGGCAGAATCTCTGATCAGAATGAACTGTCCACTACACCTCACTCCATAACACTTCAGATTAGGCATGTAGCCTCATGCATTGTTTCCATTAGTGACACTCTGCAGAGATGCTTTTGATACTTCAGTGCTAACTGTAGAGAGGGGGAAACTTTCATATCGGTCCCTTCCTCCAGCACATCGGCAACGGAGCAATAGCGTCTTCACTTCTTTCTGAAAGTTGCTGTTGAGGAACCCATACATAACTGGGTTGACACAAGTGGATGCCATAGCTGCGAGATGGCAGAGGGAGAATATGAGGTTGTGATAGCAGACAGAGATATAATCATGATTCCAGTCAAAGAGAGCGTTGAAAACAGTGAGTGGAAGCCAGCACAGCCCAAAGGCTACAACAATTGAAAGCAGCATAATATTGACCCTACGATGTCCTCCTTTGCGACCTCCTGCTTCCCCACCTCCTGCTCGCTCCACCACGTCTCTCCTTCTCCGCAGTCTTAGGAAAATGCGCAGATAGCATAAAAGGATGAGCAGCAGTGGCAGGCAGTACTGGAAGAGCAGGAGGCAGGTGGTGTAAGCTAGTCGGTGGTTCTCAGAGGGCCAGCTGTCCGTACAAACAAAGTAGTCAATGAACGGGTCAAATGGCAGTGAAAGATTCTGGAATGGGTGCTTGGTGAGGATACTGAAGGAGAGGAAAGGTAGCGAAATGAAGCAGGACACAGCCCAGGTGACAGCTACGGCAAGATAGGCATGCCATGGCAACGGTTTCCAACCTGTTGGATGGATAATGAGCTGGTGTCTTTCCAAAGCAATGAGGACCAATGAGAGCACAGATACTGTAACAGAGATGCATTGTACAAAAGGTGTCACCTTACAGAGTGCCTCCCCCAGGATCCAGCGATTCATCAGCGTGTAGATGACAGTAACAGGCAGACACACCAAAGCCATAAGAATATCAGAACAAGATAGATTGGCAATAAAAATATTGGTGACATTATGCATTTCCCGTTGACGAGCAATGACAAAAACCAAACAAGAGTTTCCGATGAGTCCAACAGCAATCAGAGCACTATAGGCTATTACAAGGAAGGTCACATTGCCAACAGAATCTGTGCAAGGATCCTCACCTTCCCAGTTGGGACCCAGACGTCCGGACAGATTTAGGTAGAGAAGGCGAAGGTAGTCCTCCATTTTAAACAAAATAAATTAATAACAAATTCCCGGGGTAGAACCTGCAAATAAATAAATAAATGATTACAAAATCTCTGAAATATGTTTACGATAATTTTGCTCTGAAAATGTGCTTTCATGGTTAATCTAAACATAGCTCAAATAATAATGCTGGAAATGCAATTATACCTACAGCTCTCTGTAGTGTGGACATAAACCAAGCAATTTATCTTTTGTAATCTTCTTCATCTGATATATTTTAATTAACTACCATAATTGTATTCTCTGCTGCCAGTAGGTCACCGGATTACTCTTCAGCTGTTATAAAAGTACAACTGCTATGATGTTTTGCCAGCAAGAGGCTGACGAAGTTGAAGTTTGATAAAAGCTGGAGGGTTATTGATTGGTTGCTCATTGATTCACTCATTTCAGCCAAACATAAGTAATTGCAGAAGGGGCCTAGATAATGGTAACTGGGTAAGCAGAGAGTATGAATATTGTTAGGATTTTTAAATGTACCCTATCATATAGTCTGTCAATTATTTCCAGATGTGTGGCCATTTCCTCAATTATTTGATTAGAAATGACTGATTACTACAAACCTTAGATTATGGCAATGTTGATACAGCAAAAGCATCAGTCCACAGCAAAGCACCTAAGGGTTTATAAAATACACAGTGTTCTAAAAACATAAACTGCAAAATGTAATCTAAAACAGAGGAGTTGGGAAAAAAATCCAACTCATGTATGTTGTCTCCATGGCTAGTAGCGCCTAAATTTAGCAAACTGTGTTTTCAAGTCTCTATCATTTTTAAATGTTTAGTAAATAAATCCATGGAATAATTGGCTTTTCAGACCAGTCTAGGTAAATAATTATCATTGGTAGCCAATACACGATTATCATTGATTTCTGTGCTGAGAAACAACGGCAGTATTTAATTAAGAGATGGATATATTTGTTTTAGACAACAAAGCTCCAATTTCCTGTACTTATGAGGCAGAAATGTCATTAAAGAGGCCTGGAACATACTCTAGCATTCTATAAATATATAAAATACTAACCTGTGCACCATTTCTTTAAATAAAAAAAGTGGTTTAAAATCCTCTTTGTGTTGCAGTTTTTTATTCTCAGTTATTATCTGTATACAATTGGCCAGCATATTTTCAAGTTAAGATCTCTGGGCTTCCACTCATACAATAGCTCAGGACACTGACTTTAGCAAAATTCCCATCATTATTTAAATATCCACTGGCTGGTAGGAAAATACAATTCCCTTACTAGTAGTACCACTTGTGTTTTAAGAGACATAAGGGAACATTTGAAGATATTTGCTCCATTCGATATGATCTGGGTTCCTATTTAGAAATGGGTTTATCCCACTGATTTTTGTTCCATATAACCTTTTCTTGGGAAGGATCTTTACACCCAATAGAGGCCCATTAAAGGGATACAATATGCACCTGGATCACTTCATCTCAGTGAAGTGGTCTGGGCATGACCGCCATCAGAAATTTTGGCCCCCTGACAAAGCACAAGGTCTGGCCCTCCCCACCCCTCCTCCTCCTCCTCCATCCCTCCCCCCGGGCCCGCCCACACCCTACCTAGTTCGCTGACAATGATGTAGGACTGAATGTGGTGTGTATAGTGGAAGTGAATTAGAATGTGTGTAATGGATGTAGTGTTTGTGTGTATTAGATACTGTTTGTGCAGTGAATGCAGAGTGTATGTTTGTGTAGCGGATGCAGTGTGTATAGTGAACGCAGGGTGTGTTTGAGTAGTGGATGTAGTGTTTGTGTGTACTAGATGAAATGTGTTTAGTGGATGCAGTGTCTGTAGTGGATGTAGTGTGTGTATTAGATGCAGTGTCTGTGTATAGTGAATGCAGAGTGTTTCAATTTGTGGTGGATGTAGTGTGTGTACTGTGAACACAGGATGTTTGTGTAGTGGATGCTGTTTGTACAGTTAATGTTAATGAGTGTGTGTTAGTGTAGTGAATGCAGAGTGTGTGTCAGTATAGTAAATGCAGAGTGTGTGTCAGTATAGTGAATGCAGAGTGTGTGTTAGTGTGTAATGAATGCAGAGTGTGTGTTAGTGTGTAGTGAATGCAGAGTGTGTCAGTGTAATGAATGTAGTGTGTGTGTTAGTGTGTAGTGAATGCAGAGTGTGTGTAAATGTGTAGTGAATGAAGAGTGTGTGTTAATGTGTAGTGAATGCAGAGTGTGTGTTAATGTGTAGCGAATGCAGAGTGTGTGTCAGTATAGTAAATGCAGTGTGTGTGTCAGTATAGTGAATGCAGAGTGTGTGCATAGTTTAGTGAATGCAGAGTGTGTGTTAGTGTGTAATGAATGCAGAGTGTGTGTTAGTGTGTAGTGAATGCAGAGTGTGCTAGTGTAATGAATGTAGTGTGTGTGTTAGTGTGTAGTGAATGCAGAGTGTGTGTTAATGTGTAGCGAATGCAGAGTGTGTGTTAGTGTGTAGCGGAGTGTGTGTTGTGTTAGTGTATGCAGTGTGTGTGTGTGTTGTGTTAGTGTATGTAGTGTGTGTGTTGTGTTAGTGTATTTGTAGTGTGTGTGTTGTGTTGATGTATGCAGTGTGTGTGTTTGTGTTTGTAGTGTGTGTGTTGTGTTAGTGTATGCAGTGTGTGTGTGTTGTGTTAGTGTATGCAGTGTGTTTGTAAATGTGCAATCTGGGGGGGCGGGGAGGAAGGGGTTCATTTTCACAGTAATTTTCTATTAAATTTAATTAAATGTTATTTCCCCCCTCCCTTCTTAGCTGTGTCCAGATTCTATCCCTGGTGGTCCGGTGGCATGGGGGGCCCCCCGGCTCCCTGTTACCGCAGAGGGGGCCCAGCCCTGGCCGCAAGACCCGCGGCCTGTGTGCCGCGCGGGGCGTTGCCATGGCAACGCTCAGAAGGCCGCGGGTTTTGCAAGAGTTATTAGAAGAGAGAAGAGAAGAGTAGAGGCAGTCTGCTGTGCCCCCTCTGCGGTAACAGGGAGCCGGGGGGCCACGGCTGCACACATAGATAGCGATATTCGCTATCTATGTGTGCAGAAAGGGAAAGTGGGGCCCAGGACTGCCAGAGCAGTCCGTGCCCCCCAGGACCGCCGGGCCCATGACAACCATCACGGTTGTCACCCCCTGATGGCGGCCCTGGGTCTGGGTGCAGCGCCCTGTTATTTTAGCCCTGTTTAGTAGATACAGCAATGTTTTCATTGTAGGACCTACAGTGGCCGACAGCCACAAAAGAGCTTCCACTGTGAGACTCGGCTCTCACAGATACATCCTGAAATGCTTCTCATAGAGAGCATTTGTTTAGAGGAGCGTGTTGCTGTCTACACAATAGCCTCTTGTCCCCAGATTGGCCAAGAAGCTAAAAAGTCAACATGATGTAGCGGGAAGCAGATCTGGTGACTGCAGGGACTGGATCTCAAGGCTGGGGAAAGTAATACATTTTTACAACTTTTTTTAAAATTAAATTTAAGGGGGAGGATCTAAATCTAAATGGTGAAAAAAACACATGTTTATATTCATATAGCTGTAGTGTTCCTTTAAGCCAAAATAAAAAAATCTATTCTGAGAAACTCTTTTTTTAATCCTGATTGTAGAAATCATTCCCATATGATGCAAGGCTTACAGCAGGTATCAAAAGACCACAATGGGTGATAGCAAGTGGTCTTCTCTGAGGCACATTTCTTTGTAATATGATAGATAGACAGACAGACAGAGATATTCAGGTATCTAAGAGACGCTCTTATTCATATTTTGCAGATACTTTAGTGTTGGAGCATGTCTGGCTTTACAGTTTCATAATCATTTTCCTGGTGTTTGGTTTGGTGATGGGGTTAATAATGGGTAGAGAAAATAAACCATTCTGTGTAGAAAGGGTTAAAGGAGTGCTATTTTTCCTGACTCAGTCGGTAGAAAGCAGCTCTGTAGGTGGAATTTGTCTATTCCCCGGCAAGATTGGAAAATATGTGGGTAACCACAGGGAGCTGAGTTTATAACCCAGGAGACTTCAAAGGCAGAGAGGGTATCTGCTAGAACCCGCCCCCAGGACAGCAAATAGCAGAGTGCACAGAAAGAGTCACTTACTTGTCACCTGCCGGAGAGTATCAGCATGTAGCCCGCAGGTACCAGGGAGGATGATAGCAATGTGTGAGGGCGGCAGGAGAGAGCTGTCAGATGTCTGCACACTCCTATATGAATCCTCCTCTCTATCTCCCTCTTTTCACCCTCCCTATCTCACTCTGCTCGACACTCTTGGCTCTGCCTCCAATCTTTCGCTTCACCTCTGTTCTGACTCCTCTTTTAGTTTTCAGCCATCCATTTACAGAAGCCTGTCCTATGTATTTACCTTAATACTGACACCTCTTTCTATCTATTTTCCTCTCTGTCCCTCTCTCTATAGACCTGTCTTCCTCACAGTTCAGCTCTCTACTGACCTCTTTCTTCTTTTCTGTCTCTCTACTGACCCCTCTTCATGACTATCTCTACCGACCCCTCTTCATGATTGGCTTTCATTTACTGCTGACCCCAATTCCTTTCTCCCTCTCTTCACCTCCCTACTGACCCCACTCCCTTAATACTGACCCCACTCACCTAATACTCATTGGTGCCTGTCTCCTCATTACCTTTCTTTCTCTTACTATTCCTCTTTCTGTTTAAATCTCTATTTACTCCTCTTCCTCCCTTTCTTAACCTGACCCTCCGACCCCTTACTAGGACCTTTTACTCCCCTCCATTGCTCTGTCATCACTTTTATTTTGATCCCTCTTCCTCACTATGGCCATTTCACTGCTCACCTCCTGTTTGCTATCACAATATCTATAAGGACCCCTCTACCTGATACTGACCTTTTGTTTCACCTCTCTTGTGGTCCTTCTTCTTCTTTATGCCCCGTAGTTGACTTGTCTATTGACCTCTCTGTCTACTAGCCATTCTTTCCTATTGAGCTATTTTTCAATCTGTGCTCTCCTGTTGACTGGACCCTTCTCCTTTCAATCTTTGATTCTTTCCTGACCTCCTTCCTCTTTGATGACCTCAACGCTGACCCCCTCTCCCTCCTTACAATACTGTTATGTATCCCTGCATTAAATCCAAATGACTCCTAACTTCTCTCTGCCCACCAATTCCCTGTGCCTTTCTCCCCTCACTCTGTTTAATTCCCCCTCTTCCGTGAGACTTACCTCCCCAGCCCTCAGCTTTCACTCTGTCTAATTTGCAGTGCCCCCAGTAGGGCAGTATATGAGGGCAGCCTGGCTGAGGTTAGTGCCCCCCGAACCCCAGGAGAGCAGGTTCATTAGAGACAAGCTCTTGTCTCTTATACGGGTGAAATGAAGAGATCTCATCAGACCGACGGACTCATTATGGGAATCAGCTGCAGTTGCTAGGAAACCAAAATCTTTTTTAACTGGAATCTGCCAGCAACAGAAAACAAATTATTCCAAATCCTTCTCACACCCCGCAGCCCAGCACCTTCTGCTGCTCCTGTGCACACAGCACCGTCATGGAACCCCCAGTGTACTCACCATAGCCTGCACTGCATCAATCCCTGCACCTGGCCTGCTGAGTGCACACAATACTGAGTGTGGCATATACTATCACACTGTCCTGTCATAAGGTCTGGCCTTGCATCCTCTATCAATGCTTTCTGTTTTATCATGACTTCTGTTCCTGGATCCTGTGTTATAAATATGTATGCACATGCTGTTACTACATCCTTTGCTATTCTTGTTCACACATGCTGCAGTTATTGTTCTCCCTGCTGTTCTGATGGACATACTATCCTTTTTCCTTTTCAGTGTTATGTAATATTTAGCACACAGCGTCCTTGGACCTTATTATGCATCACTGCTTCCTCTGTACTCTTATAACACACCTCTACCTACCTACCTATCTATCTACCTGTCTGTCTGTCTGTCTGTCTAGCTAGCTAACAAGCTAACTAGCATCTATTTGTGTGTGCATACACACCTACTATTCCGTTTCAATTATACTACCCATATTTAGAAATATACACCATCTACTGTCTGGAATCTAATACTATTCCTATGCACATGATAGAATGTAATGCATTTCCTGTACACTGAATAAACCCATCCTGAAATCGGATACTACTCATGTGAACACGTTAAACTGTTGTGGCATTTGCTTTTATTCGTGTACACAGGTTAAGCTGTCATTCAAGGTGATCCTCTTTCTATGCACAGGTTTAGCTGTGTGGTCTTGTGAAATCATCTGCCATGCCTATATACTTTTTAAGCAGTGGTACGATGTGCTGATCGATATCAATGTGCACACGTTGATATGTACAATCCCTTTTCTGTGCACTTGTGAACATGTGATTGTGCTGTTGATTCTGTACATGTTAAGATAATGTGAAATTGTGCTATTCTGCACACTTCACTTGGAAAATGTGTGTAGTCATATAGAGATACATACCCATGCACAGAATTTGCTACCATAAAATATAAAGATAGAATGTGATGGCAGCTAAGAACCATTGGACCATCTAGTCTGCCAAATTGTTTAAATACTTTCATTAGTCTTATCTTAGCCTTATTGTATATCAAGGACAGCATTATGCCTGTGCCTATCTTACACTGTTCTAGCCTTCTATCAATATTCTAGCAATCTAAGGTATTTCTTTGAAGTGCTGCTCCAACCACCATGACCACTTCTGCATTAGGAACTGTTCGTGGTGGTAGGGGTCTGTATGTGCAACTTTTCTACTTGAAACATTACACATGTTGAGATATAAATACTTTTGTGCAGGTGGCTAGTTGCAGCCCAGTACACATGCCTTAGGCAGCCTGGAACTCTGTTCTAGCTGCTTAAAGGGACACTATAGACACCAAAACAACATTTGCTTAATTAATCAGTTATGGTGTATAGATCATGTCCCTGCAGTCTCACTGCACAATTCTCTGCCATCTAGGAGTTAAATCACTTTGTTTATGTAACCCTAGTTATACCTCCCTGCATGTGACTTGCACAGCTTTCCTAAACACAGATATGCTATATCCCTGTATTGCACAGTCTGGTTAATCTAGAATTTCATTTCCTCTGCAGGAGCCTCCTGTGTGTGACTAAAGTTCAATTTAGGAGATAAAACCTCTAAAGCAAGTTAACAACTGATTGAAAAAAAAAAAAATTTCATGCAGGACGTGTCAGTCACAGCCTGGGGCTGTATGGACAAAAATAAAAGCCAGGGCTGTATGGACAAAAACAAAAGTGATTTTATCCTAAATAGCAGAGAATTGAGTAGTGAGACCTCAGGGGCATTGTCTATATACTAAATTGCGTCATTAAGCTAAAGTCGTTTTGATGTCTAAAGTATCCCTTTAATGTGAATGTTTACATATTAAGACCTTAATTTAATACGTTTTACAAATGATCCAGTACTGTTAGAAAAACTTTCCAAATTATTTATCCACAGAAATTACCGTATTTTTTCCATGTATAAGTCCGTCTTAAAAAAAAAATATTTAGTCTTATATTGTTGAGAGTCGTTTTACACGGAATATCACTGCAGGGGTTAAAAAAACCAAACACTTGTGCGTGTGGCCTGACAGCCAACCAATCCTTCAAAAATCTAATTATTAAGCCAATACTTAATGTACTTACAAAGCGCAATTTGGGCACAATACTTGGCTACTCGCTGACAGAACACTCAACTGACTGTTGGGTTTGCTACTGCCAGGTTCCTGCTGGCATAGGCTGTGTTGTACACCTTTGCGACCTGCTGACATACTTGAAGCAGAGGAGGTGCTTCTCCATGAACTTTTGTGTACGGGTCTGGGAGATCTTGCGCAATGCTTCCTCACCACTCTGGACCACGCCAAGACCTCATGGCTCTGTATGTATGGGCAAAAGATTCGGTTTGGTTCGGACTTCCGAAATTCGAGACTTCAGCAATTCGGGACTTCGGTTCAGTTCAGAACTTCGGCAATTCGGGACTTCGGCAGTTCCCTAACCCTACTCTAACCCTAACCTCACCCCCAACCCTAACTCCTACCCCAACCCTAACCCCATCCTTACCCCTAACCCAACCATACCCTACCCCTAATGCTAACCTAACCGTACCCCTAATACCTAACCCTAACCCCTAGATTGATGTCATCTTTCCCTTAATTTTCCCTCCCTCTCCTGTTTTGGCACTTTTCAGAAATCAGAAGCACTTCTGAAATTCTGCACTTCGGCAATTCGGGACTTCGGCACTTCGGAAATTCGAATAAATGTGAATAGGTTGGCGCAAAATGCAAGATTATTTTGAAAGATGCAGCAACCAACAAAGAAAATCTTGGTAATAAGATTAGACAGAACAAACACATAAAAGTGCTGGTGCGCAGTGTTTTATAATCACTCTCTGTCAATATCTTATATATAGAAGGCTTTATTAATAAGCACACATGTATCAAACCAAAGTGCAATCTCAGTGTTTGAAAACCATTAAAAAAGTGCATTTGTGATGGTTGTATAAAGTGACATGTGGTTATACTTGCGAGACATCGATTCAAGTATCTAAGAACAAAACCGAAAGAAAGAACTCCTAGTGCAATACAGTACAAAAATTGTGAAAAAAATATTTGCTCTTTAAGTAGCTCACTCGTAAAATCAGAGTGGTTAAAGCACCACTCGCAGTTATAGCGCTCAGGGAGGATCAGCCCCTGGTGTGCATGGGATCCGTACGATACACAGATTACCAGGATGTCAGTTATGTGTAAACTTTATTCCAATATCGCAATTAAAAACATATAATCTGTGCAGTCCATCAACAGCTCACCAGCTCTTGGCAACGGATGGTGATAACTTGTAAAACCGTTCTGCTGATCGCTGTGCTGGGCTGCTTTCGCCGATGAACGTCCACAGTACTTCCTGGTCTGTGACTAGTTTCGCCCCTACCCTTGGTGTATGCTTCTTGGTGTAAGCCTTCTATATATAAGATATTGACAGAGAGTGATTTGTGGGGATATTTATGGGATAATAATAGTAACAGTGAGAATTGCCCACTAATTCAATTCTCAGACCCAAAGATCATTATCGTGTTAAGTGGAATGTATTTCATATAAATAATATCACAATGTTATAAAAATAGATTTATTTATAATAACAAATTAATTAATAATAATAATATGTAACATGCGTGACAATAATCAATGAATATCCAGTATAAAATGGTATGCAATACAAAGGAATGGCTATACACGTTTCAATGGCTAAACAGCATTTTCTGTCAAGTCTTACACGATTTATGAGGTATCCTTACAGACTGAATGGAAAACTGTTCACAGCGAAGGGCCATAAAACCCTGGTTAACAGTTAGAATAACCCTTTCAATGCTGGCTAGATCTCCTAGGTAATTAAGATCTATTCTTATGTAATTTTAAATAAAATAACATTTAAACCAGTTCATTAGTCATTTCCTGGAACCATCCAATAAGAGAATCTACCATATTATCTAAGCAGAGTTTAATTTGTCTAAAAGATATCTATCTTATATTAGAGCAAATCAATACACCTGGATAAAAACAGCGGTATGCTAACACGTGATACTATCACATTAATATATAATTATTCTTAATTCCACCTGCAGAATGGAATGTTTATAACTATATATTCTTTAGTTAACTAAGATTTCTTAATATGGAAATCTGACCGTGCTTTATCCAGTCATATATCATGCTATTAATACATTTTAATTAATTTAATTAATTAAATGAAACCAGTATAATTACCAGTTGAGTAGATATTTCATCCGATTGGTAGATAGTCTCAGGAACTTATTTGGATGTCTCTCTGCATGAGTTATGGTGAAAGGTGATGTTGGTTAGAAAGTCAGTGAAATTCTAAGTGTTAGAGTTTTAAGAGTAGAGTGTTAGTCTCAGATGTTGTCCTGGGTTTCTCTGCATGTCCGAGTTGGAGTCCCCAAACTTCCAATTCCTCTCTCCTCTTTTTCCTTCTTTTGCATACCCCTCTTATTTCTCGTCTCTGTCCTCTTTCTACCCTTTGTCTTAACTTTTAAAGGGCCAGACTCTCTGTACGTCATCAGTTGATAACCCAATAGAAGCACTAGAGGTGTGCTTACCTAGGGATCGCAATTTAGGTATTTGGTCTATAGAGGGCAGTCTTGTCCCACTAAACATACCTATCCAGGAAAGAGTTAACTTTTCCTGGTGGCTATTTTGACGTCATTTTGGCCTATCTTGATAGTGGCCATAACTTAGATTTGCTGTCACTTCAAACAGTTTCTTTAAGTTTTGTCCAGACTTAGTGTCCGCAATTCCTGCTATAATTTCTGATATGGCAGATCATGAACTAAGTTTAACCTTTTCCGTACAATGGTACCTTATACATATAGAA